CCAGGATTAGCATGAAGGAAACATGGGAAGGTAAATAGATAGGAGGTACGGATAGTGAGTCAGATTACTCAGTGGTCTACGAGCCCCCACACCAGGTGAACATGGTGACTAAGACAGATGCATCCTGCCTTGTTGGGGAACTGTACCCTGTTCACACTGACTATACATTTCAAAAGAGAATGGGACAAGGATTAAGACTAGAAAAGTAGGAAGGACCAGATAGGCTTTTTTTTTTTCTTTTCTTTTTGAGTAGTCAATATAAACCTACTAATGTTTTCCTTGGGGAATAACATGATCTTAGGCAGCTCATTTTGGCAGCCAATTGGAGCCTAGGAAGGAGTTAAGACAGGAACACGCAGATAAAAACAATCAGGCTAAGTCTCTCACTGAGATCAGCCTCTCTAATGAAATCAGAAGTGCTCTGAGGCCAGGGCCTACGTCATATTCAACTTCATGTACCAAATATTTGACATAGAATGAGTGCTCAATAGAAAGTTTACTAAACACATGAGCATAGCATTTTATTTATTTTTAAACTTCATTTATTGCTTCTGTAAGTGAGAAAGACGGAGGGAAAGATAAAAGCATGCCCATGAGGGTCTTGATGCCATGATCCATCTCCAGTTCCAGCCAGCCCCGGGTCATTTGCACACACATGGCTGGTGCACTCAGTGATGTCCCCAGAGGGGAACCTAGAACCTGTTCAAGTGATTCAGCCTTCTAGAACACTGTTTTACCACCAGCACTATATTTCTGGTAACTCTCTAGAAAGACTATTTCCCTCCATAAGGTCACATACAGTGAAAATTTCAGTATCCTTTTTTTTTTTTTTTTTGCTATAGGGCGCGTACGCTCACCAGAAAAAAAGAGAGAGACAAATAGAAAGTGAGAAATCACCCCCCGGGGGCATGGCCACACCGCAATCCCTTCTCCCCCATTCTCCTCTCAGGATCTTGGGCATGCATGCACACTCGCCCAGCATGAGTTTTAAGCCACTGGGTCCAGTACTCGAACCGCAGTCGGCTACGTGGGAGTTCAGTGACATAGCCATTATGCTAACTGCTGGTCCCCAGTATCCTATTTTTAACAACATAGATTTTTAATCATTATAAGGGAGAGAACAGAGCCAAAAGAAAATGAAAAGGGTATTTATTTTTCTAATAAAGTACACCTGTCGGTTACAGTCCTTTAAATATGGTACACAAGAGGTGGCAATTTATTTCTCCTAGCAGGGGCCACCAGGTGGCGTTGTAAGGAGCTGGACTCCCACATGGTCAACTGTGATAGAAGTCGTGGACCTATCACCTGGTTTGAAAATCACACCAGGTGTATACCCATGTGCACCCAAAAAATCCCAGGAGGAGAGGGGAGGAGAAGGGATTGTGATGTGGCTACCCCCCCAACTCCACAAGGGTGATTTTTCACTTTCCCTCTCTCTTTTCTCTGGCAAGTGCACACACCCTATGGCAAAAACCTAAACAAATAATTATATATATATAATTTCTTCTACAATAGCAAGGAAGAGGAAACCAGTTTTACTGAGAAAAAAATTAGACTCCTAAAGCTCAGTGACCGAGTGATTCAAATGAGGTTGAGGTTTGGCTCTCATGAGGATCGGAAGCTAAACCATCATTACTCCTGCCATTTTAGCCACCAAGATGGAGTAGGAATTCTTGGGCACTAATTCCCAGGTACATTGTCCCTACAACTCCAAATGCAGAATCAGAGTGATTGACTTATTAGTTGTTCAAGGACAGTTTCAGAACATCTAGTTACTAGTTTTGTGCTTATTTTTAATTTTGTTAGAGAGTGCATATGCTTGTTGGGGACAGAGAGAGAAGAAAAATAAGAAAACACTTCCCACGGGGAATGGTCATGCTATGATCACTTCTCCATTTTTCACTCCTTTTGGGATTTGGGGCATGCACATACATGTACCTGGCATGTTTTTGATGCTACTGGGTCCAGCATTTAAATTGCACAGTCAGCCATGTGGGATCCAGCTGCCTTAATCACCATGCCACTAGCTGGCCCATTACTGGCTTTTAAGCCTGAGCTTAGTCAGTACCAAGGAGAGAACTAACTTACAGGGATGGGAAAATAGTACTAATATAGGAAGCTTAATGCTTACCAGGTCCAAAGCACCATACACAGCATTTCACAAGCATCATCTAACTTGAGCCTCAAAAAACTTGTATGAGGGGACCAGCAGATGGTGTAATTGGTTACTTTGATGGACTCACATGTTGACGAGTGCAGTTAGAGTCCTGGACCTGGTGGCTTTTGTGTGCCCAAAAATTTCAGAGGTGAATCAAGAAGGGATTGTGGTATGGCCATCCTCCTGGGGAGGTGATTTCTTGCTTTCTGTCTTTCTGGCAAGCACATGTGCTCTACAGAAAAAAAAAAAATCTCTAAATACAAAAACAAAAACAGAAACATACAACAAACCCATGTGAGGGTAGGGACCATTATTATTCTCAGTTTACAAATGGGCCATTGAGGCTCAAGAAGTAAGTTGGCCAAGGTCACATGGCTAGGAAGTGGAAGAACAAAAATCCTAAAGCCCTGCCCAGCTCTCTCTCCCTGAAAACTATCCTCTTTAATTTCAACTCTAGGCTGGTCTTAGCAAATCACAATGATGCTCTTCATTTTGACAGCCTTTGACAGAACCCAGAAATAACCTTGTGAAGGGGGCAAAGGATCAATTATGGTTACTCTGACAAATTAAGAGACTCGTGCTAGACAATATAGCATAGTTTTTTAGTAAAACAACCCATGTATTTGGGTTCAGATCATTGTTAAGATACTTCCTGACTCTAAAGACCTGGAAAACTTGCTTGCTTAGTCTATTTTAACACTCGGTGTCCTCATTCACAAAATGAAAGTATTGTAGTGCCTGTCTTGAAGAGTGGCTGAGAAGGTTAAATGGGATAATGCATGCACAAACTTTAAACATCTACAGCACACTTCTTACTCAATAAATTTTACACATTGGTAGGATTGCCCTGCTACGATAGTAAGCATAGGGTAAATTATTTCATTCCACCTTAATTCTGTCCAGTCCAAGTTATTTCAGTTACTGATTCTTGGGAACCCAGTGGGTGACTGACTTCTAGGCATGCACATCTTGACTTGTAACCCTGTGTGTTCTCATTATTCTCTCATTTATCCATCACTAAAATCCAAAGTCTTTCATTGACATGAGAAGCTTGTGAAGTTAACATCTTAGGTACCTCTGGATGGCATTAACTGGTCTCCAAATATACTTTTTCCTTTCTGCTGTTTTCCTCCATCCTTATCATTGTTCTCTCCTCAAACAATGCTCCATCCTCCCTCCTCTCTTGTTTCTTTTTGTGCATCTATGCTTTAAGGCACCCCTGGTGCTCAGGAGTCCACAGGGCCTCCTTCAGCCCTGCTCACAGCCCTTAAAACAAGAAACCAGTGACCCTTGTCATTCTCATTTCGAGGATTGTAGCTTTTTGAAAGCTCCAAGATGGAAAAAGCGGTAGGATAGCCATCCATGGGGGAGTGAGAGTAGACTGCAACTTACGAATGGTCAGAGCTAATGATGGAGAGTGTCCAGCCTCTGAGCTAGGGATTAAACAAAACCTTAGAAACCATTGCAGAGGTCTAGAGTAGAGCTCTTTGGTGGCCTCCTTCTAGCTAAAAGGCTTCCACTTGAGTGCTCTGGTTTGTGCAAGTTTAAGATGCATAATTCATAAAGTGTACATAGCACCACTTGAATGAATTCTCTCTCCCACTTGCTCAGGAGGATTACATGGACTGACTGCATGTCATAAGATCACTCTTGAAATCTGACATTATTATGCTCTACGGCCTAGGAAGGGGCACCAGCTTCTCATCAATTCATTTTCTTTACTCCTTTGTTGTCCCTGTCAGATACCTGTAAAAATATGTATTTGTTGCCCGGCAAAGTTCTTTCTCTGCACATAGCTCCAAGCAGAGTCTTAAACAACAAGAGCATCACAGAACCAACCACATTTTTGCCCACCACCATCATGTCAGGCAGCAGGAACTAACTCCCTTGGACTCTCTGTCTATTGTCCAAAAAAAGGAGAGGGATTAAAAAGCTGGGACATAAATTCAGCACGGCTCCTCAGTACTTCTGTTTGAGATGACACAAACAAGAATACTATCTCCTTAGAATCCATGAGGTTGCCCCAGATTATTCGTCATTCCAATGCCCGATGATGACATAATAGTCAATTTAGAGGTGATTTATGGTGCTCCTGGCAGGACTGATAAGGAGTGACTGTACAATAGGGGTTATTCAGGGGAGGCATTGTTAGTGCTCTAACCTGCCCCAAATATCCTTTTCTTAGTACACTTTGATTTTTTTTTCCAGAGTGACAATACATCATCTTTAAAACAATCTGTCAAACTAAAGTAGAAGACAAACTTTAGTACATTTTGTTTTTTTTTTCCAGAGTGACAATACATCATCTTTAAAACAATCTGTCAAACTAAAGTAGAAGACAAACATAACTTCATGCCCTAAAAAACTTTATGCCCTGGTTTAGCCAATAGCTGTTGGGCACCCTGCCCGAACCTTGACTGTGAGAGTTTTCTATCTGATCATTGTATTTCAACCTAGAAACAGTTTCGGTCCTCATTAGTCTAACACGTATGAATTTAAGTAGCAGCAATGAGAAGAGAGTAGTAACTATGGTTTACGACAACCTACTATGTGTCTGTTCATTTAAGGAACTCAACACAGCGCTCGTCCATGTTATTCCTTAAAATATAATTCTACGTGGGTGATTCTCTTATAACCCCCATCCGTCTGTGTCCTCATTTGTATGAAAATCTAAATTACATTTGTAGCAGTAGCAGAAATAACAATACTACTACTGCAATATTAATGATGGTTGCTTTTTACTAAGAATTTATCCCCATCTAAGGACTCTGAGAAGTCTCTTGTTTTTATTATTCTTTAAACACTGTGACATGGAGATCATTATCGTTGTGATTTTTTTCAGACAAGAAAATTAAGAGGTGAAGAGGTTAAGTAACTTGCCAAAGGGCAACGCAGCTAGAAAGCTGAAGAAAGAACATGCACATAGGTCTGAGAAACCTCATCGATCAAAATCAGACATTTGCCGCTTCAAATGGCTCTGGAGAAAAACCCCTAACCAACATGTAAATAGCAGAAACCACAGCAAAGGTGACTCCACATCAAATGCAGATTTTAGTTAGTAAGAAGGACTAGAGCTGCTAAATTGCTTAGTCACGTGTGTTACTTAATGTATTTGGTTACTCTAAAATCTGAAGAATCCAGCCATCAAGGGGGGATGGGTTAGCAGCTTTGCCAAATTGTGGGGGTTGGAACCTATGGTGAGACTCAGTTTTGTTTGTTTGTTTGTTTGTTTTTTTAAGAGAGAGATTTTTGCTATGGGGCACGTGTGCTCACCAGAGAGAAACAGAGAGAAATCACCCCCCAGGGGGATAGCCACGCCACAATCCCTTCTCCTCCATTCTTCCCTTGGGATTTTGGGCACTCATGCACACAGGTCCGCCATGAGTTTCGAGTTGCCGAGTGTGGGACTTGAACCACGGTTGACCACATGGGAGTCCAATAATGTAACCATCAGGCCATCTGCTGGTCCCAAACGTCAGTCTTATAAGGACAAAGAGCGAGTGCTGATTTTGCCTCCTTAAAGGGAATTTACATGTGCATACGTGCATATCTTTTCTAAGAGTTAGACAAGGCAATTTTCCCTGGCTGGTGTAAAGTGCTTTTCTTTCCACTTACTGACCTATTGCTAATTGGCAGTCACTGTACTTAGAAACACTCTGTGTACATTGTCTCATTTAATCCTAAAGACAGTTTAGGAGACAGATTCCCTTCCTCTCAGGCTTGCCTGTCTTTTAGGTCCCTCACCTGTTTTTTAAAAGAGTTTTCAAAGGTTATAAGAGGTGACTCTTAAAACTTAGATGGAGGGTGCAAGCTGCGCACCAGATCCTTTACTCTCTCAGCCTGCTAAATGTGGCTCTTGAAAGGGGCTTACAGGTATAGGCTGATAGATAGACTGGTTAGATAAGGGTCAACACTTTCAGCTAGGCACTGTCTTTTGGCTGGTATGCAAACCGAGTTGTTTTCACTGAAATAAATCCCGTTAAAAAAATACTGCAAAACTAAATTTAGTCAATCCTGTTTAGAGATGTGTCCCCAAGTTTCAACCCTTCCTGATAGAGCCCACCCATTTACAGACTGCTGTGGAAACTTCAGGGTGACAGCCTCAAGTTACACCACAGTCAGCTGAACCTTCACATCCTCTTATCTTCAGCCTTCTGATTCCTGAAGAGGGATTATTATTTGAGTTGTTATAAAGGACACTTTTTTGTTTGTTTGTTTTTGCCACAGGACGCATGTACTTGTGCATGAGAGAGATCCAGAGAGAGAGAGAAAGTGAGAAATCACCCCCCAGGGAGAATGACCATGCTGCAATCCCTTCTCCATTCTCCTCTTGGGATTTTGGGTATGTTCACACATGCGCATGACATGACTTTCAAGATCCAAGACTCGAACTGCAGTCAGCCAGGTGGGAGGCGAGTACCTTAACTACCACACCACCTGCTGGCCCCTATTAGGGACACTGTTTGAGTGCTTAGTATGGGACAGAACTGAGCTTAGTATGTGCCAGAACTGTTCTAAGTGCTTTATATGGGCTATCTTATTTACTTAAAATTTATTTCTTAATTGTGTGGCAGAGAGCGAGAGAGAGAAGAGTGACCAACCCAGCCTCAGTCAGCCTTGGATGAAGGGCACATGTGTGCCCTGTGTGTTAAAGATCTCCAGCTCTAACCTGAAGCCGTCCAATGTGGGTCAGCCTCCCAGAGTAAGACGTCTTACTGCTGCACCACCATCCAGGCCCCTTCACCTTATGTAAATGTCTCAACAACCGTACGAAGAACAACTACTATTGCCACTGGTTTAGGAGTAAAAAAGGGAGCCACCGGATTAACTAACCTATAAGGAAGGGTAACTTCCCTCTACCAAGGGTGCTGGGATTCAAAACCAAGTGGACTTAATCCAGTGTTTACCCTCGTGCCTGTTACCCCGGGGCTCTCCACCTAAAGTATGTGTGCATCGGAATCACCTAGAAGGCTGCCGTCCCAGGAACTGTGCAGTGAGCTGACCCAGGGTCGTGGCGGCACAGATAAAGATGGCGGTACAACTGAGAGTTCGCACCTGAGCACAGCAGTCTATCAGAATCACAGAGACAACCATGAATTTAAATGGCAGACAGGTAAGTATTAAAAGTTGTGACTTACCTAATACAGAAAAAAATAGGACTTATAATATCCTACCAATAAACTGACTGAGAGATATGCTCACAAATCTTCTGGTCTGGAATATTCCTACTGAACTGGGAAATCTGGTCCAGGTCCAGTGGCCTCATATTCAGAACAGGCTTATTTTTGCCTTGAGCAAGAAATACAATTTTTGACACTAAGCTTCACTACTAATAACGGAGAGTCACCTAATTCTATTAGGATATCCTTTCAACTGAGATCAAGTCAGCACCAGATCATGTGTGACTCACGAGTAATTATGTGCCTTTCTCTAAAGACCACGCTCTCACCTCACCTCACCTCACCTCACCTCCCTTCCCCTGCAACCCAGAGAACTGACTTCCAACCGGAACACTCCCAGCAGCTGCGAATACTCATCAGCTAGCATTCATCTGGGTTCTCCTGTACTGACTACGTTCCCTGTGCCAGGTGCTGTCTAGAGTGCTTCACATCTCTTGTAATTCTAACTATAACCACAAGAAGGTAGTTATTGTGAAGATTGATCCCCATTTTACAGATCATAAAATTCAGGCAGAGAGTTGACACCTAGCTGATAAATGTCAGAACTAGATGTTGACAGAGGCTTAAAATCCTAGGATTTAGGATTTTCACCATGTCACTGGCTCCCATCTGTTTTCGCTGCCCTCTTGAGAAATGGTCCATAGTGAGTTAATAAGAATGATAAGGGCAGTAGTGAACACGTATCGCGCTCTTATTATGTGTCCTCTCCCATTATGGGCCAGGCTGTTGGTCCGTTAATACTTTATCAATTAACATCCTCATTTACATATGAAGAATCTAAGGTCTTCAGAAGTTAATCAGCCAGAAAGTGGTAGAGCTGGCACCTACCCAGGGCTGCTTGATGTAAAAATGATAAATTCTGGAAGTTCAACTCCCAAGGTCATCTCGCTCTCTTACTCACTTGCTCTGTACTTTTCTGGCCATCTTTAAAATAAATGAATAAAGTTAAATAAAACAATTCTTTTTAAAAACGAAAGAGAGGTGATACTGTAGAATGGGTACTGTTCAAAAAGGAATGCCCCACAAGTGTTACCATGGCCAAACTGGAGGAGTCTGCAATGTTACCCAGCATGCCTTTTGCAACTGTTTTAAACAGACAAGTTAAGGGCAAGATTCTTGCCAAGAGAATTAATGTGAGTATTGAGCATATTAAGCATTCTAAGAGCAGAGGTGAATTCCTAAAATGTGTGAGGGAAAATGACCAGAAAAAGAAGGGTTCAACTGAAGCTCCAGCCTGCTCCACCCAGAGAAGCACACTTTGTGAGAATCAATAGTTTCTGAAACCTATTCCCTACAAATTCATGGCATAAGAGGTATTAAAAATAAATAAACACAGGGCCCAGCAGATGACATAGTGATTAAGGAGCTAGACTCCCACGTGTCCAACTGCAGTTTGAGTCCTAGACCCAGCAGCTTGAAATTCATGCTGGGTACATATGCCTGTATGCCCAAAATTTCAGAAGGAGAAGGGATTGTGGTATGGCCATCTCCCCCTGGGGGTTGATTTCTTGCTTTCTGTCTCTCTGTCTCTCTCTGTGTCTCCAGCAGGCACATGTGCCCTATAGCAAATAGCTCTCAAAATAAGTAAGTAAATAACTAAACAAAAAAACTCTGGGATATATAAAAAATTTTAAAAACAAATTGCCCTTTCTCCAGGTCAAAGAATTTCAGAAATTTTCCCCCTCCCCAACTCTGTGGCTATAAACATTATTTAGTTGGCATAGCATAAACGAGTAGGGGCATTTCTGCATTGTAAATTATATGCAGAAATTTACCCTCTTAGACGGAGGCAGCATTTTTTCAAATGTCCAAATAGATTATGTCCAAATGGGATATCCCCAGGCCTGTACTCTTTCTCTTTCAGTCGTCATCTTCGAGCTCCCCAAAGGCAGTCACTCCAGCAGGTGTGTGTTCACCAGTCCTCCACACCCCCATCGCCATCAGTGAATGGATCACGGGTGACATCTGACTCAAGATGGGTCAATCGGGGCTCTCTTCCTGAGATGCTTCATTCTCTGGGGAATCAGCGGGAGAATCTGTACCCCTCCCCATCACACACGAGTGTGTGCATCCACAAGCACAAAGTACTTTCTTTCCCAAAGGAGCCACAGATAAGGTCCCAAATCTTGGTATACATTGTGCACATAATGAATAGCAGAGAGTTTAAGAGGCTCAGGGTAGAGGCCAGAGTTGAAAGCCCAGGGAATGGCATTTTCTTTCTAACTACTTCTTTAAGGAAACAATGGAAACAATCTTTTTTCTTTTGACTTGCTAGGGGACAGTTGTGCTCAACAAAGATGGAGAGAGAGGAAGAAAGCACTTTCCAATGGGGCATGGTCGTGCTGACATCTCTTCTTCCCCATTTCTCCATTCCCTTAGGATTTGGGAGATGCACACACATGCCTGGTGTATTTTTCAAGCCACCAGGCCAGAACTCAAGTTATGTGGTTGGCCACATAAGATCCTGCTCCCTTAACCATTAGGCTACTGGGCCAGCCCAGAAATAATTCTGTAATTGGTACTTATGGAGTCTACATAAGAAGAAAAGAGGATTGTCCAGTATTCAAAAATAATCCTTGAAAAAGAGAGTGGAGGCTGATATGGAATTTTTCAGCTGTACCAAGCTCGAGTCAGGCTTGATAAGAACCATCACTGAGTGGGCATTGGGCCAACTAGAGAGAGTGACGTTACTCTCTGTCAGGAAGTTTACTCCTGATTTTCTCTGCTGGTCCATGTCATTAATTCTTTTCAAATGTCAGCAAAGTCCTATCCCTTCACCTACCTCTGCCCTCATCTTCCTCTCATCTCCCCATCATCTTCTGGACATCTGACCCAAATGTTCCTGGGCACATAGGTTTTCCTATGTGTGTGCCTAATCTATCCTACCAGTTAACAGCTAGTTTGGGGCACACATGGAATTAAGCATAAGTGAAAGTATAGAAAAGAGGCTAAAGCGTTTTTTCTATATATTTTTTTTTACAATCAATGGTTCAGTATTCGGTAACATAGCATGGTGGTCAAGCATGGATCTGAAGCAAGACTCTGGATTTGAATTTTAGCATAAAGCTTCAGACTTATAGTTTGTTGCATAATCTATCTGGGTCCCAGAGTTTGGCTCATTTAGTTCAATATATTGGGTCATCAGAAAAGTCATGATGCATTTTTGCATAGAAATACATCATGACTTTTTTGATGACCCAATATATTTGCTGAATGAATAAAAGAATGAATAGTAGAATGAATGAGTAGAGGAAGCAGAATATGATGTTCCCTAAATGCTGAGAGATCAAGGTGCAGGTCTGTTTCTAACATTTGTGGGCCTGGGACAGAAGTATAAATGAAGGTTCCCAGCCCTGCCTCCATCCTACATTATAATGGGTCTTGAATAAATGTACACAGACCCTCTAACCTGTAGGTGCACACTTTGTTCTGTCCAAGAGAGAGCGGACCCTTGGTCACCAGCTAAACCTAAGGGTTATCTGGTATAGGGAAACAGACCTGGAAAAGAAGACCAAGCGGTGTCTGCATGTGTGCTTATGGCCAACTGGGCAGAAAATCTGGAATTCCTGGTTCTGAGGTGACATGGAACATGGGATGTACACACCTCTGTCCTGCAGATTCCCTTCCTGAACAGAGGGCACAGCCAGAGGAGGGTCAAGTGATGGCCCCTATGCAGGCACACTTCCCTGGAGAATATTCACCAGGCTGTACGTGATAATTCGTGATTGTTTCTGCAGGGGCTACACTCTCATGGAATTTAGATGAAAGATAGACAGGTAGAACGATAACAAAATATAAAAGTTAGTTGTTCAATCTATGTGGTTAATGTAAATGTACACCTGGTATTAGTCTCTTGATTTTTCTACATGTTTGAAAATTTCTGGTAACAAAATGTTGGAGAATTACAACAGCGGTAAAGGCTGAAAGGCAATGTCTGCTACTAGGAGACCTCATACTGAAGAAGATAACCTAGGCAAGGAGGTGGGGTCTCTGTCAGGCTGTGGGGAACCTTAGTGTGTATCAGTAAACGGCTCTGGCTGCAGAGTATGTGGCCCTATGGACTCACAGCTTCATAAGTCAACTGGTAGGACTTAGAAAAAGGTACATCTTCTGTCAGACATGCTCAGTTCCACATGAGGATCCTTGACTGAGAAGGAAGGACCCTAATTTGAGAATGACTATTATTTTTTTCCCTAATTGACCAGAGGGTACATGAATTTGCTGGAGAGAAAAATGGGGATGGGGTGAGCAAGAAGGCACCTCCCCCCTGCCCCCATGGGAATGGTCATGCTGCAATTCCTTCTTCTCTATATTTCCCTCCTTTCAGGATTCTGGGCATGCATGCCCATGCACCTGGTATGTCTTGCAAGCCACCAGGCCCAGGACTGCTCAGCTGGCCATATGGGATCCAGCCACCTTAGCACCACTCCACAGGCTGGCCCCCTGTCTCATCTTAAACAGCTATCTAGTCTGGGAATAGATATAATGAGAAGCCAGTCGAATAAAGAGATGGGGAAGGAACCTTTCAGGCAGAGGAAGCGACATCTACCAAGGCCCTGTAGGGGGTGTGAGCATGAGTAACAGACACTGAAGGAAGCCATATGGTTTAGGAGCACAGGACTCAGAGGGCTGAATGTGATCTAGGCCTGGAAACATCAGAAGGGACAGAAAGAGGATTTGTGAAATGGAAGTGCTGCAATAATAACTTGTGAAATAAAAGCACTACAAAATTTATGAAATGGAAATACTAAAACTACCTGGTCCAGAGAGACACACTAAAAAAAAAAAACTGGTCTCTGACACCGGCTAGCAACTATTTCAGCTTAACCTGTCTAAACCTCAGCTTCCCATCTTTAACATGGAAATAATACTTACATTAAAGGATTAAACAAGATTTGGCAAGTGGATATATAGAACATGATA